ATGAGTTTAGTCCTTGCGTCCACACGTAAAGCATGAAAACTCTCACCGTAAACGCATACTTTTTGATGAGTTTAGTCCTTGCGTCCACACGTAAAACATGAAAACTCTCATCGTAAACGCATACTTTTGAAAACGCTCTTCAAAGTGGATCGTGTAGACGGCTGAAAACGATTCGCAAACGATGACTGTTTACGCTGTGTCTGGTCCATTCTGAATGAACTTAAAAATGTCGGTTCCCATTAAAGTAGAGACGTCATTGTAACAAGCTAGCGTACAGTTGCTTGGTTACTGACTGCCAAGACCCTCTAAGTATAGTTGATTTATTCAAGAGGTCTCAGTCTTCTTTCTTAACGGTGAAGGAGTAAACGTTAAAACTGATTAATTCCATAATTAAGTACATAGGGCGAAAGAGGTACTACTTTTCAAAGGTCAACTAAGATTTCTTTACTTTATTTCACATTTTGGCGATTTTATTGAGGCTTTTAAGCCATACATTTTCTTATGACATGACACCACGGAAACCTAGCTTGGGCTACCTGTGAAAAAACGATATGTAATAAGACTCCATGACAATTTTATTTATTTATTTATTTATTTTTATTTTTTGGAGCAGGTTACAGCATCTTGGCTCATTGGTCACTTAATGGTACAGAACAAGGACTAAGGTAAGGATACAAACCATTTTAATCCTCCTATAGCTATACTGGTAACGTTTGCTCTTTGAAAAATCTTCTTTCTACAGTTCCATTGGTCTACAACGAATAATAGTCTCAAGCACAGGCAGCCCAAACAAGGTTCCTGTGTATGGTTTATAAGGGAATGTATGGGAGTTATGATAAAGTTACGAAAATAAAATGTTTCACTCAACAATTTGCCTCAAAACCTGCTGCAGTTGTTGGTTTTACTTTGTTCAGTCGTCTGGCGAAGTTTCAGCGCGATTTGAGGCCGTTTAGTGGGTTTTTTCAAAATCCGCTCTTCTCTACCTAAATAATGGGAAGGCTGGAGACTTAGCACCCGATATCGACTACATCACACTAGAAAATTTAAAAAAAACCTCTCTCTCCCCTTGAACCGCAATAAAAATGCAACATGTCAAAGGAACGATAATTTCTCTATTATAACATGTATTCTGAATGCCACCACGCCAAATATGTCCAGAAAAATCCTGGCTTGAAGTCGAATATTTGATTTCTTCTACRGYRTGTGATCGATGGTGTTCAAACGACCGTTGTAAAGCGTGAGCGGGTCACGTTACATACTGCATTCCCATTATTTAGGTAGAGAAGAGCGGATTTTGAAAAAACCCACTAAACGGCCTCAAATCACGCTGAAACGTCGCCAGAAGACTGAACAAAGTAAAAGCAACAACTGCAGCAGGTTTTGAGGCAAATTGTCGAGTGAAACATTTTATTTTCGTAACTTTATCATAACTCCCATACATTCCCTTATAAACCACACACAGGAACCTTGTTTGGGCTGCCTGTGTCTCAAGTCGAGTTGCCGCGCAAAGCAAAACTATAGTTTATGATGTGCAGCAACTCCAATCTCGACGTGGAACTTTTATTCGTGGTCACGAAACTGTAAAAAGGAGTATTCCAGAAAATGTTTTGATACACTTATTTTAATAAAGTTAGTCACCAGAAAAGCTACAAAGCTGAGACCGACAAAAATTATGGGTAGAGACATTTTACATGTTTCAACCGCTTGATAACTGTTGATGGACTTGAGATCTTCTACCAGTTACAAGTTCACCTCCTCTGAGCATCCTCAACTTCTGCAGTTTGTGTCAAAAGCTTTACTTGTTGGATATAAAATATTTCCCATGATTCTGAGTGATCTCAGCCTTCTAGGTTTTTGGTGACTAACTTTATTGAAATAAGTATATACGTTCAGTTGTGTGGAAGTAACGGTCGCATTATCACACGTGTTTATCACACAGCCTTCACGGTGGACCCACCTTTGTCGAAGGTCGTTATCCAGGAAGTAAAGCCATCAACTTTAACCAACCGTCCAACTGCTTTGCACGAATTCCTAAGGTTGAACTTCGTGGCAAGAGTTTCACCATTGCTCTCTGGGTTAAAGTGAACAGCAGTCTTGACAGAGACCAAGTAGTGCTTGGTGACTGATATCAACCATATCAGTTTTTTTTACGAGTAAGAAAGCAAGAAAGCTATATATCTTTTCAGCGACATTCGTTATCGGACCAATGGTTAAGCTGCAGGAGTACGGAAAGGCTTAAGATTAACACATGGCAACACGTCGCAGTCGCGTGGGACCAACCAGGAGGTAATTTTAGACTTTATATTGATGCTAAAGAAGTTGCTACAAAGATCTTTGATACCAGTGAGGCGTGGTATCCTCCAACGAGAGACACGTACGAGATAGGTGATGATGGGCATGCGGATGAACACCAGTTTCTTGGCTCAGTCATGGAATTGTACATCGTCGATGGTGTCTTAAATGCAGAACAAATAAATCATCTCAGAGGTGAGAACTATAAAATAAAGGAAAGGCGTGCTTAAATCATCGTCGGGAAATGGTTTCTGGTGAACTATTGAGAAAATCTTAAAAGATTCGAGTATAACATTAGTGTAAAATGGGGAAGGTGTGATGAAGTGAATAGTCACGCAAATCACTTTTAAGTGATTCTTTGTTTAAAAACAAAGAATTATATAGTAATCTTAAACATGAAGTGTTTTATTAATGGCTGCAATGAAGATATGTAAACTAGAGTAGTGTTAAAGGAGTGTCACAGGCTCAAGATTCAATAGTTATACGATGCCTTCTTTCTCGTGGTTCACTATGGAATATTCCACTTGTTACTTAAATGTCACTAGAAAGCATTGTATGATATTAACATACCAATGAAATGCCAATGCCACATATTTAATATCCAATTATTCTCCTTCTCATTTCCTTGCTCAGGTTTCCCTGCTGAAATCACCACTCCAAGCCTTGTAAACAACACGTTCGTGTATACGAATGAGACAGTGAAATGTCAAGCCAAAGGTTCACCTACTCCATACGTGGCCTGGGTACGCTCAGGGGTAGTGCTAGTAAACAAGACATCTACTGCAGAGATCACTATCACTGAGAATAATGGCGAGTACGTGTGTGTTGCTTCCAACCGTGAAGGAACAAAGAACATGACCCTTATGGCAAAAGGTAAGCAACGCTTTTTCTATTCAAGCATTTCTTATGTGAAATTTGAAATTTTAAAATTGGATGTTTTAAAACAGCTCCTCTTCATCTTTGCCATGACTACCGCATCCTCAGTGACGTGTCCAGGGCTGTCAACCACATCTACCACTCATCTCAAGTCAAGAACGATAACACAGATATTGACCTTAACAAGTGGTATCGTATCCAGAGCCCATCTGGTAATCAGTTACCAACCACGTGTGTCCCACAGAACAGGTGTGGTACCCAGGCCCCTGGATGGTTGAACGGAGCACATCCAAGCATCCAAGAAGGAATTGTCAAGAGAACTGTCTGCTTTCACTTCAACGGTGACTGCTGTTATCAGAACACCGCAGTACACATCAGGAAGTGTTTTGGATATTACGTGTACAAGTTCAGCGGTGTGCCTAAGGTATTACCTGGTCGATACTGCATTGAAAATCAACAACACGACAACCAAGGTAAATAATGTTATGATCAGGTTTAGAATATCTTGCACTGACTAGTTCTCTTAATTTGTCTTTCAATCTTCTATTTTTATGTAGACCATCCTGACACAATGTTTCAAGCAATTGACGAAGAAGTAGGTTCCCGCCTCATTGGTCACGTAATTCATGCAGATACAGGCGTGCAGGACGTGTTTGTTTGCATGAGCTACTGTCAGTTGTACAATGGTTGTAAGTCATTTAACTTTAGCAGAGAGAAAAAGATCTGTGAGCTGAACAACGCCACACGAGGGGAACATCCAGATGCCTTCCACAGGAAAAGCTCATTTGTTTTCTACCAGGAAGTTAGTGCATTCACTATCACAGTTCACTAAGGACACTTCTATGTCTGCTTAGCTAGCCTTACGTTATTGCACATGTGCAATGAGTGTGCGGGCGGCCGACAATTAGCAGGCACCATCCTTAAAAAGAGAAGTCTTTCGTAGTAAACAGAAAGTTCAAAAAATTAAGCCAATTTTAAGAAACAAGTAGTCGTTATGTAACAAATTTTAGGAAAATAAGAATCTTAGATTAGATCATTGTTATATTAGCCTTTCCAGAGTCATAGAATTGCGTTGCATAATGGGGCTGTTTTGAGAGAAGCTACCAAGTTCATCAATCAGTTGGCATTYTATGCATTAAAAGAATTTAAAAATTAACGTACACTACAATTAAAGTTTCGTAAATGAAGTTTCTTTAACTTTTCACTACTAGCAAGTGAAAAAGAAGCCATAAAAGCATCACAGCGTCCCTAAAACAGCCCCATGATGCAACGCGTTCTGCAACTCCGGAATGGCTTATAACGACGCGCCATTAGTTGATTTTTTATGTATTCAATTTTGTACTTATAGTTGTAACCAATGCTAAGGTTGTAGTTCAGGTTGTGCTGGAAGGTACGGCTTAAGTAAGGGAACTTGTACTAGACCAAAGGAAAGTCTGCCTGCGTGACAGTCGCACCTATTGAGGAAAATCTTTCTGGTCGACCTGGCATCGTATTTATTTAGGTAGCACAAAATTTTTTAAAAAATTATTTTAAAATGCCAGACTAACGCGATAAAGGCCTTTTTCAACAATCTGGAGGTAAAAGGTTTTTGATAAAAAAACACATGTAGTGAATATTTGTTTTATCAGAATAAAGATTGTCATTGTAGCATGTCTTTTAATTTTCATGCAAACTGAACATTGATTTTCCACTGCTGCCAGTCAAAAATATGAAAGTACCTAATGATTAGTTTTGAATGTAGGCAGCGAAAAACCAATTTTACTACAAGGCTATTGAAATGTCTGAGGTTCAATTCGCAGAATACTGAGAATTGTAGTAAGCAAATCACAGTAATCATTATATTTGATTAATGGTAAGCAGGGGCCCATCAAGTGTACCACCTGGCCTGGTTATACGAAGGGCGGATGGAGATATCCAATGGATAAATCTTATCCAATGGATAGATTTATGGGATAACATCATCTACTTATCCACTGGATAAGCATTTATTCGTTGGATAGTGCTATCCACCCTTAGTACAACCGAGCCCAGGAAAGATTGTTGACTTAGTTTATTATCAACTTTAACTCACACCTGCCTGTTTATGTTATTCAAAAGGAGGGATCCGAACAGAAGAAAAATGACAAATCTTCTCATTGGTTCAATCACTGATGGTTTTACATAAGCAACAATATGAGAGACCTAGGTGTTAGTTGATATGAATTAAGTTTTCTTAATCAAGACATAAAATCGACACCTTGACTCATTTTAAACTCGTTAACTAAAGTATTTAATCTATGGATGATTAAAAAGAACCTTAACGGACTTGAAAGTACAAATATTTTTTTGTCAGAATACCATCTGCGAAAACAACATCTCGTTCTACTTTTGGTGCTCGCAGGCTTACGAAAAAAAATCGTAAGAGAATCAAACAATGGGATGGTTTCCATTAACGGTAAGTCAGACCATCAGATGTCTAGATTGTTATACCCTCGCATGGATCCATTTTTAGATTGTTATTTGTTATATATTATTTTGGGTTTCCTTTTCAAAAATACAAATAGTACTGAGAGGATTTCGTGCTACAGCACCGAAAACGTTCACTTTGACATTTGGGACAATGAAAACAACAAGAATAAAAAACAAACAAAAAACAAACAAACAAAAACAAAAAAAAAAACGGAGGCGAAGAAAGTGTCCTTGATGTGTGTAGAAACCGGGACGGCTTTGCGTGTAATTAAGGGGGATTTTCCGGCTTCTACTTTCTCTCTCACACACACAAAAGGAAATCATATTATGAATTCGGGGGAAAAGGAGAAGGAAAAGGGAGAGACAAAAGAAAAGAAAACAAAGGAATATCGATTGAAAATCTAAAAAAATATGTTATTCTACTAAATGGCCTATAAACATGTTGCTACCATGGAAATGGAATATTAATTTGTGTGACTAGCCGGTATACTTGAAGTTTGATCAAATAACACCCGTGTAGTCCTAGAAAAGAGTTTGATATAAACTTAACCAAAAGCTGTCGTTCCCCTAATGGAAAAAATCCCGAGTTGGCGAGTCCATACAAAGCATGAGGGCTTTCCTTTCAAAGGTACATGAACCAATGACATGAATCAATCAAGGCATGTATGTTAGAGAGCGAAAGCTTTACAAGAAAAACAGTGCAAGAGTTTATAAACTGTCTATAGCTGACTGTATATTCAGTTAATGGTTATAGAGCCTCAAGTATCACGATTGCTTTGTTTCATTTCAGGTCATACTGAATTCTTTTTCCCCCTGAAAAAAGAAAGCATAAATTACCATCGTGGCTTAGGACTTAATGATGTTTCTCATGCCACTTCAACGCCTGGACAAAAACGAAAATAAGATAATTCGATAGTTAAATGACAATAACGTGTTTAACGAAGACCATCACATCCACATGCGATCTGGTCTTCCATTGGACAGCGATTTGCGATGATTACGTGATAATAATAATAATTTTTATATTTATAAAGCGCGACTTTAACATGTGAATATGATCAAATGCACATTATCACATGACTTCTTTAAGCAGTTTGTAATCATTCTCCAGAGAATGAAAAAACAAAAGATGTAGACGCTATGATTCTTTTTGAAACCGGGCAAACGTTTGATCGTGGAGATGTCGGCTAAACAAAGACAAAGTTAGGAACAAGCAATTGCCATTGCCATAGCCATTGCCACTGATTACTATTACCATTACTATTACCACCACCACCACCAACAACATTACCATGGCATTACCATCACAGTTGCCATGACAGCTGTCATTATTACCATACTCATCGTTACGTTATCATTTTCATTTTTTTWAAATCCATTCTTTGTTCATTTTTCTTTGCAGGCACTTTGTGTAGTGATTATCGTAACATTAGATAACCAAGTTCAAGGTATGATTGATTAATCTTGTCCCGAAAAGTGCCCCTTAAATGAAGCGGGATAAACTAGAATCGTTGATGAAGTTTGACAAAATTTCGAAAAGTTCAGAAATGTCTCTTTTCAGGGAATTTATTTCTTGTTTATTTCTCGGGATTTCAAAAGGTGTCTGCTTTCACCTCATTAAAAAGGCAATAAATCAACCCAAAACTTTTGCAAGGGGACTCAGGGGATTTTTTTCTTTGGAATTTCTAAAACGACAGGCAAAAAACAATCTTTTGTGTATGTACTTCTATTGTTATCGTTTGAGTACGATTTTTGCCTTATTAAACAAAATGCTGAATTTTTAGCTTATTCTCAAGTTTTGCTTTAAATGATTTAAGCTAATTATCAAACAAAATGCTTAATGTAGATGTCCTGAGAAAATTTCTTTCGAACTTTTTTATTTTATTTTCTTAAATTTTGAGTTTTTAATTTTTTGTGTGCGAAACTTGGTTTCCGCTATTTTTCTTTCCAAAACTTCTCAAGTTCGCAATATTCATTAATATATAGAGGATATTACATGGGCGCGCGGAGATACGCAATTTATCTTCTCGTGTTGAAAAGATCTCTCACAAGTGAGCGCAGCGAATGGAATGAGCCGTTAGTAGGTTCTGTATGCCATATATATTTCTAAGAAAGCTTTCTTTATTACTTTTTCCTAAAGTAGTCAGTCACCCTATGTAAATCTATCTAAAACTTAAAAAACTTTTGGATCTTGCTTTACCAAAACTCGTTTTGGTGTTTAGCCTTGACTTTCCCGTCCATCCGCAACGATTGCCAAAAAGAAACGGTAAAATACGGTCTTGATGTTGGATCAATCTAACTTGTGTAACTTGTCTTTGAGGTTTCGATAAGGTAGCATCGCAACCGCCACCACCACCGCCAACAATAAGAATTCTTGCACACTGGACACTGAATGGATCGGAAGCGAATATAACGTAAGCACAAAATCGCTTAGCGCAGGTTTAAAAAAGGGGATTTCTCTTTTTAAATGTTTGTTGTTGTCGTCGCTGGTTGTTGTTGTTGTTGTTGTTGTCGTTGTTGTTGTTGTCGTTGTTGTTGTCGTTGTTGTTGT